AGAAGTTCAAATTAAAGTCAAACAGTGTTCAGGATTTTCCTACCGTTGAAAATTAAAACCTCAATGTTATAAAAAATATTGATTTAATTTTTCAAAAAATTGAATTTCTAATATGTTACATATAAAATACAAAATTGAAAACCTGTTCCAAATTTGACACATTTTCTCCTACTTCACCGAGGAGAACGATTGTAGAAACACGTTGCTGGTAAACTAGCCTCCAAAAGTCAACAACGGTCTCTTTGAGAGGTATCTGTGTCACTATGAACGAGTGCCTGTTTTTGTAGGCCTAGAATATGCATCAAAAATATTGGTAATTTACACGCTTACAGGTACATAAAATAAACAAAGATAATTATTTCAACATAAAGGGATAAAAATGTTTTGCATTACGTGAAAAGTATAAAGATACATTGTTTAAAAATAAATAAAAATGCTTAACAATATGAGGAATTCTAATATCTTTTTAAGGGATCCTCTTTCGGACTTATGTTCATATTATGTTGTGTTCATATTCGTATTGTTTATAATTGTACGGAAGCCCAATAGTGCAAACCAAAAATATATAAAGAAAAACGAAATTATTAAATAAAGAAAAACGAAATTAATATATAAAGAAAAACGAAATTATTAAATAAAGAAAAACGAAATTAATACATAAAGAAAAACGAAATTATTAAATAAAGAAAAACGAAATTAATACATAAAGAAAAACGAAATTATTAAATAAAGAAAAACGAAATTAATATATAAAGAAAAACGAAATTATTAAATAAAGAAAAACGAAATTAATATATAAAGAAAAACGAAATTATTAGATAAAGAAAAACGAAATTAATATATAATGAAAAACGAATTTATTATATAAAGAAAAACGAAATTATTAAAAAAAGAAAAACGAAATTATTATATAAAGAAAAACGAAATTATTAAAAAAAGAAAAAAAGAAATTATTAAATAAAAAGGAGAGTGGGGGAGAAAGAGAAAATATCAACTGTAACAAAAATTTCAATCGAATGTTTGAAGTAAATTGTCAATAATTGTTTAACGGTATACGTAATTTGTTAATGTGTGGCATTATGCATAGAGGATCATGAGGGTGGCTGTTTCTGCTTGATTAAAATTAATGACATCCAATTCAAAAGAGCACTTGAATCGCAAAAGGTCAGGACCTTGCGTATCGTATTACTGGATTCCCACGAACTTAACCTAGCGTCCGATCTGTGTACCCATAAATCTTAGATTGTTTAAACTATAAAAAGAAAAATGATTTGATTACTTTGTGGGATTTGTTATTTACAAAAGTGTGCATTGTTTGTTCACAAATATCACCGACTTATGAATACACAAATTGAGAGTTTGTCATTTAAAATATATGAGAACAAGAACTATAGTACCACTGACTTATAAATAGTACAGATTGAGAGTTTGACATTTATAATATGTGAGAACAAGTACTAGTAGCCAGTACATCACCTCTAATTATGCGTTGATAAGACCAAGGAATCAACTGAAGGTGATTTGCTTTACTTCTAATATAGTAAGCAATCATTAAAATCTACTTCTTGTAACCTCTTTGACTTGTTTTACTTTTTGCACCTGTTCTCTTTAAACAATTTTTTATAATGTCAAACAAACCCAAGTCCGATCGATAAAGTATTATTTTACAGCATTTTCCAATGAATGTATTGTGCGATAGTTGAATAATGGATAAGGGAATTTCCTTAATGTTAAAATTTCAACAATTACGAGTTGTAAACAACGGAATCTTAACGTTCATGTTTTCTTACATAGTTGTGAAATTAGATATCAAAGGTTAAATTCTCCCCATCCATGAATTGTAATGGATATGTTTTCGATGTAGGAAAAGGTTCATCTCGCTCGTTTATTGTCGAAACAAAATCAGGTCCATCAGACGCGGTGCACTAATGATTTATGGGTTCAGACCCTTACCGTGCACCTCTATAAATTCCGTATTTTAGTTTCAGTTTTTCTACTTTTAATAATTTCGTTTTTCTTTATATATTAATTTCGTTTTTCTTTATATATTAATTTCGTTTTTCTTTATTTAATAATTTCGTTTCCCATTATATAATAATTTCGTTTTTCTTTATTTAATAATTTCGTTTTTCTTTATATATTAATTTCGTTTTCCTTTATTTAATAATTTCGTTTTTCTTTATATATTAATTTCGTTTTTCTTTATTTAATAATTTCGTGTTTCTTTATATATTAATTTCGTTTTTCTTTATTTAATAATTTCGTTTGCACTATTGGGCTTCCGTATTACGGAATTGGGGAAAACACACTAAAATGTTTAGACGTAATAGGACAAAAATACTTGGCTTACTGGCAGGAAAACGGCGTTGATATAGATGGGCTTGTATCTTTCATCCCAAATCTGTGGCATTGATGAATCTACTATAAAAGTTTAACATAACATATACTCACCGTCAATAGAAACGCAACACACTAATTTAAGGGGTGAAACTTATGTACAGGATATAACTATGTACCAAAAAAGTTAGGACATCTTTTACATTGCCAAATCAGTTATTTAACGGTTGAATGATTTTCATTCCATTACCGAAAGTTGATTTTTAGCTCCCTGAACAGAAATCAAAAATTAGCATTTTTAATAAAATTATTGACAATATTTTGGGTTTTCAAGGTTTTGTACCTGTTAATCATAAGTCTTGTACTAAAAGTCCGGAAAAACATTTTTTCTTTCTTTTCCGGATGTGATGCCTGTATTTCCTCAAAGTAACTGAAAGCACGCATTTTCATTGCCAATGTTGGAAATTCTCAAAATAAAGAAAAGCGAGAGCTACAGATGCAAATATACACTACATAACGACCTCTCGGGCCCATGTGTTTCAAAAGCATGAATGACAGTTCCTTGACCGGAAGTCCAAGGGTTACTACACTACGCTAAGTTAGAGAAAATTCGACCTCGGTATCTGAAAAACAGGCATTTAAAGATGCACAAGAATATTTATTTCGCTCAGGTTAAGACATTGATAAACCTACTGCATGATAGAATTCGGGCTGTGTTTGTTGTACCTGGCGAACTAGGACATTTTAATTGAATGGTCGGAAGGGGGGATGTTTTTGAGTTATGTGTTACTTTATAAGGTTTAAAGATAAGATTAAGAATGAATACATAAATGTTAAAAGTAAATTTACAAAACAATGATACTTCATTAAAACTTAAAATGTTATCTTTAGACCTTAGAAAGTAACACATAACTTTTAGAACATCCCCCCTTCCGACCATTCAATTAAAATGTCCTAGTTCGCCAGGTACAACAAACACAGCCCGAATTCTATCATGCAGTAGGTTTATCAATGTCTTAACCTGAGCGAAATAAATATTCTTGTGCATCTTTAAATGCCTGTTTTTCAGATACCGAGGTCGAATTTTCTCTAACTTAGCGTAGTGTAGTAACCCTTGGACTTCCGGTCAAGGAACTGTCATTCATGCTTTTGAAACACATGGGCCCGAGAGGTCGTTATGTAGTGTATATTTGCATCTGTAGCTCTCGCTTTTCTTTATTTTGAGAATTTCCAACATTAGCAATGAAAATGCGTGCTTTCAGTTACTTTGAAAAAATACAGGCATCACATCCGGAAAAGAAAGAAAAATGTTTTTCCGGACTTTTAGTACAAGACTTATGATTAACAGGTACAAAACCTTGAAAACCCAAAATATTGTCAATGATTTTATTAAAAATGCTAATTTTTGATTTCTGTTCAGGGGGCTAAAAATCAACTTCCGGTAATGGAATGAAAATCATTCAACCGTTAAATAACTGATTTGGCAAAGTAAAAGATGTCCTAACTTTTTTGGTACATAGTTATATCCTGTACATAATTTTCACCCCTTAAATTAGTGTTTTGCGTTTCTATTGACGGTGAGTATAGATTGTCTTCTGAAGATATGTTACAATAAACATAAAATGAATAAACCTCAATTAATGAGCAAAACAATTATCAAAGAATTGTTTGACATATGTAAAGGTAATTCTTTTAAAAGTATGTATCACATCTTTAATCCTAAATAGAAATGTTGATCACGATATAAAATAGAGACAAATTAGAACCTTTATCTGCAATTTTTTTAACACGCGATTTTGCATGGTTTTATTCCAACGATCCAACGATTCAACTATAAAAACTATATTATTATGTATGTATATTTTCAAAATCATTCTCGGATAAATTTAAAAAATAACAGGTTTCAGTACCTGTAAATTCACAGCGAAATTCACACCGAAATCGTATGTTACTATAAACAATCAGCTTTAGATTGATTGTCAATCAGTTTGACCGCCCATATTAACTAGACATCAGACGCAGATTATGGTCTATAACTTAAGCAAGACTGTATACATAATAAATAACATTGTATGTCAGGAGGATATCGCAGACAATCTCTTTTCATTGTTTATTTATTGTTTAAATGTACCTCTAGAAAATTATACACCCATACTGAGACGTAACCTCTTGCGGTGAGGGCTGCAAATTTAGGCAACACCTACTGCGATTGAGCAGTAAGGGATCTTTTTCCTTGTCAACACCTACTGCGAAACGGGATCTTTTTTACATGGTATCATCTGAAGATCAATCTGCACGTTCCTCTATAAGATTAGAACCCAAAACGAAAGAATAAGCACCTTGCGAATTTAGAGCTTTAACATCTGCAATCCTATCTTGTTAACTGGTTACTAAAAAGAAATTTCAAATGCCATTCCAATACGAAATGTGTGCATTCTCCTATTTTCTTTGAAAAGCTGAATAAACTTGACTTTTCTTCATTCAAGCAGGTCTTTAAAATTGTCCAACAGTTATATAAAAACAAATATGGAATCGTCTTACATATATACAATGGCACCTACATGTACCTACCTAACTACTTACATGTACATTATACACCAATTTACTGACTATGAGGACAACAGCAAGTTTATCGCCCCCCAAGACAGCCAAATCTGTTGTCGAGTGTGACGATAAACTTGCTATTGTACTAATAGTTAGTAATTATGTGGTTTATTATACCGATGCTGACTAAACTTTCTGTACTTTTTATACGGCATAATCTAATGACACAATCCGGTTAAAACTATAGGTTTCCGAGATAAAAAGCGAGGGAAACATAATGCTGCGGGGGAATAGTTTGATGACCATTTCACCATGGACAGACGGCACAAAAACTATTTCATGGTAGGGAATGTTTGTAGAAAAAAAATGTTTATTCGTAATATTTTTTATAGAAAAAATTATAATAAGCATGCATATATCTGCTTGTGCAGGTTCTGACCTAGAAATAATTGATAAGTAATCTCTTATAAAGAAAGTCCATTTGATCTTAAAATTTAAATAAAGCTTATTCAAATTTAAAAATACTTGGTAAAATATTGCTGTATCTGTTCTTTCTTCTGTTTTCTTGTTTCTTAGCAAAGTCGTAGGCAGCTTGAGGGATTTCAGCACAACCAGTACACAGGTTCTACAAAATTAGTATACACATTTTGTCACCAATGTACCTCTATGAAACGAAGCAGCTTTCTGAAACAATTCGAGAGCGCTTTACCTCATAATATTGGTCAATATGTCTTTTGCCACTTTTTGGGTCTACTTTCATCAGATTTTGATAAATCTGAGAAAATTCGGACGTTGAAGGAACAGTTGATGTACACATTAATGCTTCAACAAGGGCATCGTGAAGAAATATATACTGCTCCTTTTAAAGAAAATATAGCAGCATTTAAATCACTACTACAAGATACAAAATATTTATCACTACATGTATAAAGAGCGAGAAAATAAAAATTTTTAAGCTACCGTATAAGTGAAAATTTTACCGAGACGCAAATTTAGCGCTTTGTTCGTATAAATGTTTTTTTTTTAAATTTTAAGCCAGAAGTGATTTTAGCGATTATAAAATGCTCACTAAAGAAGCCATTATAAATAAAATTCAATTAATTTTTAGCGATATTCAATTTAAGCGATCTCATTACCCTAGCTAATAATGCCAAAATTAAATTCTTGCTAAAATTTCTGCTTATACGGTATTTCAACACACGTACCAGAGTTTGCACCATATTGACGCGTTGTCGTCTCAATGTTTCCACACATCTAAACACGTCTATAAAGCCCGATTCCTTGGCCTGCTGAATCAGGACATCTAACGCAATAAAGGTACCCGTTCTCCCAATGCCAGCACTAAATTTTTATATATATATATATATATATATATATATATATATATATATATATATATATATATATATATATATATATATATATATATATTAAAATAGGATTCCTCAAGTGTAAAACACAGCCGCAAAATAGAGAACATTACAAAAAGTAACAATGAAAAGAAAACCTGCAATGCACAACCATAGGCCCTTTGCCCTGAGCGATAGTACTTTTCACTTTTGAGTGAAAATGAACTAGAGATGAGGCGTAGAGAGGAACTCCTTTATCTGGCCATGCCGTAAAGTGGAAATGTCGGATGATTCTCTGTCCACTTTCCTGGTAATTGAAACAGATGTTAATTATCTCAAGATATAATTACTGTAAATACGATAAGTCGCTAAGAAATTAAATAAAAATTGAAATACATTATTACCTTTTTAATGCAAAATGTTCGAATTATGAAGTCTGCAAACTCTTCAGTATCTACAACTTCTATGATTAATTCTCCTTTCTTCATAAGGCCTTTCTCAGGCCAGTATTGGATGCATTTTATCTGAAAGAACATTTACAATGAATGATACTATTCAATAGCCAGAAGCTTTGGTTGTTACTGTACTCCAACGGTTTGATGTCTTGAAGTAATCCATGTATGTATGTGGTAGATGCAGTTGAATTTTAGTGGGCCAAATTCTAAACATGAAGATCGTTTTTATTTAGAAGGATCTATTTATCTATCTATCAATTTTGCCAAACTTTTATCCAATTTCTGATTGACTTGAGAGAGTTCAATGAGTTTTTAATACCCATATTGAATGAAATGTGTCCTTAATATTTCCATTTCCATTTCTATTCGTTTTCTCTGTGATAACTCTTTGAAAGTTATGTGGAAGCATATATCAATCTAAACAAAAAATACAAATTTAAGGATCATTCTTATAAATGCATGAAAAATATATAAATTTTGAAATATTTTCTTTCGAAATTGATCTCAGCATATCTAAAAAACTATACGCAATTTAGGAATGACATTTTTGCGGCAATTTAGTTTCCATATAAATATGAATATGTGACTAGAGAGTGGAATTTTAATTATTTATTCTATGATTATTTCATTGGCAATCTTGGGTAAACTATACCAAAAGGTCTATACATCTCTATAATGTTCATTCAAATTTGTCTGTTGATTTAGAGGAATTAAAGACCTGTGGAAAAAATAATGATTCCTCGAAACATTGTTAGGGAAAAAACATTCGTTAACAGACTGTTCTGTTCATTTTCAAAGCTTCATATCACCTTGTCATTCTCCCTTTAAGTTTGTAAGCATCACAATTTTCCCACAATTTTCATTCCATACCAATGACCAGAAGTCGTCAATAGTATCTACCAAAGGCCCTTAGATAGAAAACAGTAGAACACTGTGATATTGCAATTAAAGTTCCCAACAGTAGTTACACATTATTACGCACTGAAAAGGTCTTTTAGTAAAATGAATTACTCATATAGCTAATTATTTTATAAGAAACAATTACTTTTAAAATAAAAGCTATACAGATTTATATTTTATAAATTATCATTATTTTATATGTCATAGATTGCATTTTATACCTTGTGCCGCAATATATGCCTTTACTTTTCCATATCCCTACGATCAGATCAATGTTAAAATTTATTAAGAAATTAATTACAAGAAATGACTCCGAAGAGGTTTCGCTATGAAAAAAGATACTAGTGATTATTTACACAATTGTATGATTTTAATTTGAAATAGACCTGTAATAGGATACATACGTGTATAAAGGATGCATTGATGAAATCTGATTTTCCAGGATCATTTTCTATGTTTAGCTTTACACGTGTTTCATCGTCTATTTATATCATTAAAAAAATAAAATTGAAAAAATGTTAATCATTCTAAACATTTTCATAAAAATAATGAAAAGCAAGATAGTCGCAGCAAAACAATACTAGTACTGACCAAGTATTAAAATATATTTATATCACTTAAAATGTTTCTTTATTAGTAAAGGAGGAGAATACTTCATGAAATGTTTTTTATCACTAAAAAGTTTCTTTATCATTTAAGGAAGAGAATACATATCACAAAGATAAATCAGGATGAAATCTTACATGGATAGACGTGCTTATATTTGTTTTTCGACTTTGCCAGAAGCCAGCAGCCGTAGCCGAAACTGAAGACCATTATAAAATTTCTGAAAAATACTGCTGTTAGGCTTTCTTTTAAAAAAGAAGTGGCAGGTGATGTGGTTAACTCCTTCTCTCTCTCTCTTTTCTCTCTCTCTCTCTTATCTGTTTTTAATTTATCCCATCGAAGTAAAAAAAAAACAATCATCTTCAAAGTTCATATCTATGAATAATTTTAAGAAATACTTCAGCAGGTGCAAGGTAACGAAAAAATGTAGTGGTCGTCAAATAATTATCTGTCAGATGCCATCAATAATCAATAATCGGCTGCCGCCCTCTAGCTTTATATGTCTGCAAAATAAAGATCTAAAGGCCACCAGAAATTATTGGCAGCCACCAGTTCTTTTTTTGGGCCGCCGCCTTATCATTTTCTTTAGTAAATTATTTTTTTTGTCCTGGCACCTACATACTTCCGTTATATACTTTGTGTGAACAATAAAAAAGTAATCAATAATAATTTAGTATCTTGATTGGACCTTCTTCAGTTACATTCAAAGCGAAAATGGTCTATTTTTTGCAATATTGAAAAGAAGACTACATGTAAAATCCAAGACTTTTTAAAGGATAAATCATAAAGCGAAGAATAGTGTTGTCAATATTTTGCACAGGCAATCGTTAAGAATTTATTATTGCCTTTATTTAAATTTCTACCAGAAATCAAAAGAAGGAATTAACGTTAACATTACTGTAAAATTGAATGGTTTGTCAATAATAGAAAATTACCTTAAATTGATTGCTGAAGAAATTGTTTTCTCTCTTTCTGTTCTCCACGTGGTCCTTGAACATTGATAATTTGATGGCAGTTTCCGAAGGCTTTGAAGCTGGTAAAAACTCATAATAAACATTCTGATCTGGTGTATTCAAATTATCTTTATTTGTTGCGCTCACGTTTTCATATGTTTGTGATCCGTCGTTTATCTTTTACAGAAAAATTCAAATAATTCCATTTATATTAAATATTGTATAAAATGATAAAATAAAATCATTAAATGAGCTATATGTATATAAAATACATATTTCGAAGGCAATTTTTTGTCACCTGCCAAGCAAATGGAGACCAACTTTGAGGGATAGGGATATTTGTGATTGCATTGCAGTCTTACTATGATTTTTTTAATTGTACTTGTAGGTTAATACACGAAGAAGTAGTATAAATCCGGTAGTAAAATAATAGACGACCATATTTTGAATTTACCTCTTTTATGCTAAAAAAAGAGCGACACATTTATTCCTTTGAAAGCTTACAAAACTAGCTATTAATTTTCAACTGTGTTTATTATTTGATGGAAACCTATTAGATTTTTACAAAGTAAAAAATAAGATGCAATGAATTTTAAATTTCAAGAGGAATAGACTTGTCCATAAGATGTTACTTTAAAGCTGTGAATTACAAATGACTTGCCTGTTGTTAGGTCAGTGATTATAATTCCTGTTTTTTCCTTATTGGGTCAACCGCTGCATATTGATTATCCAAGTTGCTTAGCATTTGCTCGTTGTTGGGGGACAGGCATTAGCTGCGTTTTTTATTTTTGATTTCCTCCTTTTTAAATGTATATTTTGTATCAAGTCCATGTTAGTATAATATAAGCGATAAATTGTTATCAGAATAACTTTGTTAGCTATTAAATTTATTTCATATAATTTAATTTTTTCATTTATTGTAGTCAATAAAACAATTTTCCTTTAAAAACCTTTTAAAAAGAGCATATTTAAAAGTTAAAAAAAGCGGAATAATACTGCTTGACGTAAGTTATTTGACGTGGGAATATTATGCGATATAAACCCAAAAATTTTTTCCAATTAAAGATGGTACAACCAAAATTTAAAATTTTAGAAATGTACCATTTTACCAGAAGGGGGTT